ACTCTTGGTAAGTCCACAGCAGACCATATCCTTGCGTTTCGAGTCATTGTAGAGCGCCGTCGTGAGTTCGGACGTGGACTGCTTGCAGCTTACATCGACCTCCAGAAGGCGTTATATATATATACATGTGTATGTATATATATACTCACACACACGCATAAATATATATTTATACACAGACGCACACACACACACACACACACACACACACACACACACACACACACGCACACACACACACACACACACACACACACACACACACACACATATATATATATATGGTCCAATGGTTGGAGTATTGGAGTCCGACCCTTGTAGCCCCGAGGTCAGTTCCCAGACGCGGCAGTCGTAAAAATGCCTGCACGCCGACTCCTGCCTCGAGCCCGATCTCACGGAGAGAAAACGACTTATCGCCTTGAGAAGTCAAATGCAGGTGTCGTAGGGAAAGTCCCCGCCATGGCACAAGCATTAGCGAACCGCGGTTGAGTAGGAAGGGCATCCAATCAGGCAATGGTGGTACTGACAAATAACCTCTCAATGTTCAACTGAAATAGGCCTATATCCTGCATTGAATGGCTGCCGAAAAAAAATATAAACATACACAGACATATATATATAGTAATATACATATATTCTATATGTATATGTGTGTGTATAAAAGGTATGAATGAGAATGAATATCTTCACAATAAAAGAGATGTATTTGACCAGCTTCGATTTTATCTTCGTCAGAAATATATACATATATATATAAGGAATGCCAGAAAGAGCCAACTAGGAATACTAGGTTCCATTACCATGCAAAATAAGTCCCATCTCTCATCGAGAGTGCCACAGTAGATACCCCCCCCCCCCCCAACAGGAAAAGAATACCAAATTACGAAATCATTAGAAAATGATAAGCACCACATGCCCCATGCCCACAGGACGCCAAATAAAATAGTGCCAAATCGCACAGGTATTGCAGTTTTTTTCCTCAAGTAGATTTGCTAAGGAGCAGTCAAACTGCCAGTATGTATCGAGTACCAGACGCTCACACTGCAACCCGTGGTCGCGGTCGCCGGTAGGCTTAGCAACCACTAAAGAATGCGACACCTCACGAAAAAACTACCAGATACAAACTTTTCTAACTTCCTCTAACCCCAAACCCCATCCTTACCCATTCCAACATTGTCCTAAATGTGTGTGTGTGTGTAGTATGTATATATATGTGTATGTATGTATATATGTATATATATATATATATATATATATATATATATATATATATATATATATATATATATATATATATATATATATATATATGGATATGTGTGTGTATATATGAATGTATGTGTATGTATATGAGGGGCTTCCAAAAAAAATATTTCAATGCACCTGAACACTCTTTTACCAATGTGTTATAACTAGGGTTTACTGTTTTTGGGATTTTATAGCATCCCGGGATTCCGGGAAAAATCAAGACATTTCCCGGGATCCCGGGATTTCCCGTAGCAGATAATGTTTGCTAATACTCCTTCTCTATCGTAATTCGTAAATGAACCTCAGTAGTACTTTTTTTTTTTTTTACAGTAACAGGAGCGACTCAAGGGCACAACAAAAAGACAGAAAAAATACGCTGTTACTTACCCTGTGAAAGTGTGAAATAAGCATTTTTAAATGACATAGAGTTTCCTAATACGTATAGAATATGAATTTTTGCATATTACCATATCCATATAGAAGCTTGGCCAGTAGCACTGGCCACCTCCACTGACCCCCATCAAGCCATCTTGCTCCACAAGACTGTAAACTACACAGAAAATGAAACTATGGAATAACTTTTGCATATATTCAATAACATATGTAAAATAATTTGAACACCATATTCCACAAAACCTAAAAAGTGAATAAATAAATAAATAAATAAATAAATAAATGAAAATACTGAAAGTTCCGAAATGCCCTGAAATTAAAGAAGAGTAGATATTATCTGGTATTTTCCCAGTGTATTTGAATAAAGCTGAAGAAAATAAAAATTCCGTAATGCACATACAAAATCAAAGAAGTGTACGAGAACGGTACGTGTCGTCGCTCGTCAACTGATTCAGCTCATCGCTGTCTCGCTTCCAGCCCAGGCATCTCTCTCTCTCTCTCTCTCTCTCTCTCTCTCTCTCTCTCTCTCTCTCTCTCTCTCTCTCTCTCTCTCTCTCTCTCTCTCTCTCTCTCATACATTTTCGTATTTTTTAGCTGACATAAGAAAAAAATAATAAAAAGAAGTTTCCCGGGATTTCCCGGGATTTCACATATTTCCCGGGAAGGAAAAAAAGCCCATTTATGGCCGGGATCCCGGGATCCCGGGATCTCGGGATCCCGGGAAGGAAACCCTAGTTATAACATGTTAAAGTATAAACCCTTGAATGCAGTTAATAATGCATTGCCGCCAGTTGGAAGCCCGGAACCATTCAAGCAACATGGAATATATATGTATATGTATATATATATATATATAAATATATATATATATATATATATATATATATATATATATATATATATATATATATATATATACATATATATTCCGTGTTCCTTGAATGGTTCCGGGCTATATATATATGCATATATATATATATATATATATATATATATATATATATATATATATATATATATATATATATATATATGTATATATATATATTTATATATGTAGATATACATATAAATACATATATATGCATATGTATATATATACTCATACACACATATGCATAAACACACACGCACACGTGTATATATATATATATATAAATATATATATATATATATATATATATATATATATATATATATATATATATATATATATATATATATATATATATATATATATATATGCATGCATGTTTATACACATGTGTTCATGTATTAATAAATATATATATATATATATATATATATATATATATATATATATATATATATATATATATATATATATATATATATATATATGCATATATCCATATATATGTTTGAGTGTGTGTATGTCCATGCAGCATGTGCGTGAGCGTGAGAGTGTTCCCGTTTTTTCTCAACAGATTTCAGACGCACGATGAAGGGAGGCCTTTCCTTCTGCGTACTTACAGCTCTCCACGCTGAAGCGGCAGCGCTGCGGGTCGAAAGGAAACCGGTGGAAGTCCATTTTGCAACCAAACCTCACGCTGAAACTTTAGCGCAGCGAGGTATTAAAAATCCATTGTAAATTCAACCTAAATAGTGGTATTAGTACACAGTTTATCTATTCATTCCACAAGAAAAATGTGTAATGTTAGAAATGAATACACACTATTTTGCGAGTCGGATCTCTCCCCCGGGGTACAGCATGATCTGAATGGGCTCCACCAGGAAGTTGCCAAAGGTCATGCCTCGCTGGTTCATGATGGTGATGTCGGGCACCCACAGCTTACTTCAAGAAACATCCCATTCTATACGAATACAAACACACTCCCACACACGCATATATATGTATATATATATATATATATATATATATATATATATATATATATATATATATATATATATATATATACGTGTGTGTGTGTGTGTGTGTGTGTGTGTGTGTGTGTGTGTGCATGGAAAATGCTTCAAAACAACCTTTTAACTTGGGTGTTTGCATGTATGCATCTACATACTGCATGTGTGCAAGAGTTATATGAGGCATATGATTAAGAGCTCTTTTCATGACCTACAAATATGTCAAAGAATCAATGCAGTCTCGAGAATTATATGGCACGTTCTATCTGGCTTCTTGCATATCCGGCGTTTGAAATTCTGCAAGAGCTTAAAAGGCGTGAAGCATACCTGATGGTGTCCGAGCCGAGAGAAATGTTCCCCAGCGTGCCATTCAAACGGCTGTCCTTCCAGTCCGCCGTCACGTGCAGGTCGAGCACCATCTCCTGAGGGTACAGGGATCGAAAGCTGATATAAACGTCATTTTCAAGTAAAAAATAATATAACTATTTGCAAGGTATATCAAAAGGCTTGAACAATTAAATGTCTAACATTACTCATGTGGATTTGTTGATCATAGAATCTAGAAAACCAAAACTTACAATATTTAAGTCTTGGATGACTCAAGTATCGCAAATTGCCAGAGACTATGATATGAATAGTAATGACTAAGATCTACATACCTGATTGTGCTGATCGATCTTCTGGATATCGGAGATAATCCATCGAATCAGACAGATGG